GGTTGGGATATTGGTGAAGGAGTTAATAACGATGAGTACGCAAAACAACTGGCAGGTTCTAAATATGGTTTGGCGCCATCAGGATGGACGTTAGATACAACAAGGATATGGGAATACCTTGCTTTTGGTGTTGTGCCTATTGTGATCGCTGATGGTATTATTGAGCCATTTGAAGATGATGTGGATTGGGATGAATTTATTGTACGTGTAAGAAGAAAAGATGCGCATAGACTTAATGAAATAATAACTAACATACCTGATTCAGAATATAAACGGAAACAAGAAATTGTATGGAAAATTGGTAAAACTTTAACGTTAGGACCATTTACATGGCATTATATAGCCAGAAGTCTATGTAGAATGTTAGAAATAAATAGAAATGAAGAAATTGATATTCCAGGTTATAATTATTATAATTATTAATTTAATTTTTTTTCCTTAGAATAGATTTTCTTTACCTCAAATAATAATAATAATTTCCAAGTTGAAAAAAAGCCACTATTATTATAATTAAATTTATTAAGAAATTTGTATTTTTATACATTATAATGATTACAGACAATCATAGATTATGATAATAAAATTATTTATAACATTGATACACATAAATCAATTGATTAAAGCAGATCATTTCATTGAATTTATAACTATTTTTGCTTGTCGTTGTTTGTTTATAATGTTTACCATGTTTGTTCTTTTTTATATATATTCTTTTAATATACTTATATCCTTTTTATAAGGGTGTATTAAGTATATAAATTATTTTAGTACTTTTTTATTTTAAAACTAATAATATTTGTCAAAAGATTAAACTTATTAAACTTAATGACAGTAAGGGGACAAATTAACAACCCTATAAAAAATTTGCATATGGAAATTTCGTATGAATTATAATTTTTATTGCTATGAAATGATTATTGTAAAATATACGGAATTATTCCGGAAAAAATTGTAAAATATACTATTAGTCGTGTGACATTTCCCTGAGGCTGCTTTTCTATATGTGAAAATAAATTCGAAATTCGTGTCACATGAAGTT